TGAAATCTGGGCAGAAACACATCAAAACCAAAAGCAACACTCCAAAAGTATTCAAGCTAAAGGTTTTGATTGCTCGGACCTATCACAGGATTCATTTCCTGTGAAAGATCAAAACTTTCAGCAATCACTCCAATATAATCCCTGCAAGAAACAACAATATATCCAATCAGAAACTATAAAATCTTATACCCTCATTCAAAGTCTAAAAACCCTAACTATTTAGTTCCATTCAGATAGCAATAAATTGAATGAAAACAACAAATTTAAAAAAAAAATGAATCTTTATTTTTTCAATTTCCTAATTTTTGAATCATAAATCAAATTAGAAACCTGAATCTTTATTTTTTAAATTTCCTAATTTTTGAATCACAAATGAAACTAAAAACCTAGACAATCAAAACAACAAATTACAACATAAGACCAAAAATATTGGATCTTTATTTTCTCAATTTCCTAATTTTTAAATCATCAATCAAACTAATAACCTAAAAAAACTACAAAATAAAACCAAAGGAATTGAATCTTTATTTAATTAATTTCCTAATTTGAACAAAAAAATCAAGTTAATATAGCCTAAACATTCAAATGCATATCAATTAATTAAATTTCTCAAAATCTTGATATTCAAATTTCTTTAATTTTTTCTCACATTTCTTATTAACCAAACAGATTACCGAAAACTCGACCGTAACACAACAGGATCAAATAAAAACTAAATAAAAACTCATCTGCATTTCTAATTTGTTAATTCCTTTACACTTTCTTAGTAAACAAACAAAACCTACTAAAATTACAAAAATCGAATCAAATCTATAAAACTAAATCCAAAAATTAAATAAAAAGTAAAAAAAATTATCACCTGAAGAAGCCGAAATCGAAGGTGAAATGACGATGATCGAAAGAAGAAGAAGAGAAATCTAGATTTTTTTGAATTTTTTTCGCGTCATAGTTTCGTCACTAAAAATCAATTTCCTTTCTTCTTTGTTAATTACTTTTCTCTCTGCACTTTTGCTCTTCGAAAGTAAGTTTCTAGAGAGAGATGAACAGTATTCGGACCTCTGAGTTATTTATACTGATGAAGGCGATGGTTTCTGACGGAAGTCTTGGGGCATTAACGGAGTTAGCTTTTTTAATTTGATTAGCTGGGATTTGTCCTCCAAATAATTGAGAATTTAATATGGTTTTAATTTTGGATTATGGTTAGGTAAAAAGATTTTACTTGAAAGGTTAATTCCAACTAAAAAAATGTTTAGGTTAGGTGTATTGATAAGAAAATCAATCAGCCAAAAAAAATTTGTTTTTTATAATTACTTTACTATATTTATTATCTAAAAGTATATAAAATAAATAATTTTATTTAAGAATTTACTTGACACTTATGTCACCCGTGAAATAGATTTATAAGAAGTTTAATAAATTTTAACTTATTGTATCAACAAATAAATTTTGAATTTATAAAAATCTTTGTTAATTTATAGATTGATCAATAAAACCGATAAAATTTAACACATGAAATAGTTTCTATTATTAAAAATTGAATTCAAAACATTTCTCATATCATGATCACATTTCAAGTAAACTCTAAATTATTAAATCTCTTATAGCGTTAAGGATCGATGATAAAATTCAAATATTAATTTGTTTATTTTTCATATAAATGTTAGATTAAGAAGTTAGACAAGTAATATGAAATAAGGAAGGAAAATAAAGAATTATCCTTTTATTATTGTTTTTTTAACTTACTTAAGAATTAAGAATTATTTTTATTATTTTTTGGATTAAAACCAAAAAAAAAAAAAACATTTTGCTAGAACAAATGGACCTAAATATCAATCTATTTAATACTCGTTAAATTCATCAACTAAATTGTTATTTTTATAATTTTTTTTATAAAATTATCAATACACTCTCTATTAATATTTATTGTATACTAATTATTGATAATTGATGAATGATATATTAATAATTATTAAAAAAATATGACTAGAATAGCAATTTGATTGATGAAGTTAACAATCCGTACTGATGTTTATTCCTCCGTACATGTTTCTAGAACGCAAATTTTTTAATAAATGGTGAAGGTTATTCTGGTAATTAAGTAGACTAACGTTGGAGCCTAGCTGAAATATAAGGAAAGGACCCCGCCGTTAAACTTGACGGGAAATGACGTGTCTTTTCATTCAACTTGGCTTGAAAAAGTATTTTTTAAAACGTGTCGTCCAAGATTTTTTTGGTGGGATAGACACAAACAGTCATCATCTGGTGTATAAAGTATGTGGCCCGCACGTCAATTAGCCAATGAGCATTTGCCACGTCAGAATTATGACTATTCATGCACGAGCTGATGAAGGGAGAATCCTTTGTTTTGGTCTACTTAGGCTGTCATCAAATAATATCATAATTACATTACCAAAAATAATAAGTTTCGTGCAAATAAAAATAAACTTTGGTAAGTTTATTTTTGAATTAAAGTAAGACTTGGTAAGTAGCTCAATTAATATCTATATTGCCTATTTTACAAGAAAACTCCTATTCGAGTCTTTTTGCTAAAAATACATATCAATCATGAAATTTTTCTTAGTTTTTAAAGATATTTTTAAATCCATCATTAAATTTGTTATTTTCATTGTTTGTTGTTTAAAAAAATTACCGACATATCTTCGCATCTTTCCATCAATATTTGTTACTATTTAATAATTAAATATATATTTTATATCAAATATTTAAAATATCCTTCAACATTTTTACTTTTTCAATTTCTTTATTTTTGCTTTCATAACGTATTTGATATTAGTGTATGAATAATTTTTAAAAAACAAATAGTGAGAATAATAAATTTGACGATGAATTTAACAACATCCTAGTTTTTATTACTTTAATATTTTAAAAAATCCAAAATGCAAAATTGAAATTATTTTGTAGAATCAAATGACGTCCACTAAGATAAATTTTTTTATAATGCTCAAGAAATAACTACCATTACTTATCTTATAAAAGAGACATAAACACAAAAAAGAATGAAAAATAGGAGAGAAAATTACAAAAAAAAAAAAAAAAAGAGCTTAAGTGGAAATGGATTGAGATGTGATTTTCTCTCTCTTTTTGTGTATGTTTCTATCTTCAAAATAGATTCATAAATAGAATAAGTATTGCTAGTTATTTTTTGAGTATTTTAAATTTTCTTCAGTAAAATTATATTTGATGGGAAAAACTATTATTTTGAATTATATATGTATAGTTATGAATTGAATGATTAAAAAAAACACCAATCACATGCAGTATGTCATTTTGTAAAGTAGATTTTATTAAAAATTTAATTATTCCTAATATTATTTTAAACCAAAAGAGTTAAAAAGCATAAAGTTTGGATCCACAAAAACCTACCGAATTGCCCTCGAGACACTCCTATCCTATTGAATGGGATGCACTAATTAAAGCTGCAAAGAAGTGGAGCACTCGAAATTTAAATGGGTTCTTCAAGGATATAGGCTAAAGAGTGGGATCATGCTCAGCCATAAATATCATGCGCAAGCTTGCTTTTTCTCAATACAGATATCGATATCAACATAATAGCCGTTACAATTCTTGGGTCTCATTTCCTTTATCTTGCTATAAAAGTTCTAAATGATTTTCGCATTCTACTCAGAGAACATGGTTTTCTATTGGTCCATCGCTAGAAATTTTAGGGACAGATAAGGTAGTTATTTCTTAAGAGAAATTTTAAGGGTCGAGATAGTTATTTCTCAAGTATTATAAATTAAATCTCTTGATTCATTTGGAGATTGATTAGGCCTTCAATCGAGTTGAACATAATTTTAAATTACAAAAATAATTGTGATTGCAATCGCATATCGTAATAATAAAATAAAAATCACTACAATGGATGTCTTGAATAAAAACGATTGCGATTGCAATCACATATGATAATAATAAAATAACAATCACTACGATCGATGTCTTGAATCACAAGTATCATAAATTAAATCTTTTGATTCATTTGAAAATTGATTAGATCTTCAATAGAGCTGTGCATAGTTTTAAATGACAAAACAATTACGATTGCAATTACTTATCATAATAATAAAATAATAATTACTACGATTGATATCTTGAATAAAAATGATTGCGATCACATATGATAGTAAAATAATAATTATTACAATCAATGTTATTATGATCGATATCTTGAAAGCATTAATTGTTATTAATAAATTTATATTAAAATAAAAAAATATATAAATATATATTATTTTAAACAATAATACGAATTTATCTAATAACGATCATTACCTTACACATAACCCCGTTATTTGGAACTATTGAGCTAAGACGAAGAGCTTGACAGAAGGTACAGCCGTATTTGAGAGGAACAATAAAACTGGTAGCAGAAAGAGACCAAAGCAGACAAGGAATACATCTCCAAAAGTAAACATATGAAAGAGATGGAGTCTTGAAAGCACCATATCCTTGAAGGTCTTGAATTCCTTTTACAAGTCAGATCAAACCTCGTTTAAACTTGCAAGATGCAGCAGAGAAGCAACTTTGGAGTTGGCAAAAATATGATGACCGAAGTGTAGAGGAAGGCTTTCAATTTAGGAATTTAATTTTGAGCAAAGAATCTACTGACCAGAAAATGGCACAGAATGAGCCAAATAACAAGCTAGAACAAGATTCTCATAGACAAACATAATCACCACAACATAATTCTATGAAAATTATTGATGAACAAAGCAAAGGAAAAACTAGAAACTACTCAGCGATATATGGTTCCCATTCTCATCAGCTTTCGTTCTCTCCATAAACTGATGCCAGGCTCTCCACATTATTACAAAATTCACCAAAACCATACTTGTTCTGTATTGGTCTGGTACTCAATGAAACGAACTTGGTTGCTTGGATGGAGGGATTTGTGGGATCAAGCAAGTAGAAGCCATCTTCATCTTCTGCGTCGGAAATGGGTGCTAAAGGACTATGCTACCTCTGAAAATCCATGCTGTTCTCTATGAAATCCCTAAGAGTGGTTCTTTCAGGGCGAAAACGTTATTCCAACTCTGCCTATTACCACCACCACCTCCTCCTCCTTCCTTACTCATCACCCACAATTCAAAGCCATAATTTCTCCAACTTACAAATTTAGGAACGATGAGACTTGCAAGTGAGTCTTTGTACTCAGTAACTGTGCAACAACTGCTCGATAAGTCTCGACTTGGCAAATCTATCATTCTGAAATCCTCGGTGACCATGTTAAAACCAACTATAAAATCTATGTGATTACCAGAAACATCTCTTCTAGCATCCCAATATATCTCACCCTTCAAAGAAAGTGCAAGATGTCTAGAGTAACAACCATAGGGTACAGGTTTGTCAATTACTTTCCAAGAACCTGTTCTCCGAGAGAAAACTTCAGCTTGAAAAACACCTTCGTCCGGATAATTCCAAATTACTACCAATTTGTAATCATCAGTCTCACTGTGATAACCGAATGCATCCCACACAAGATAATTAAGTCTTCCTGCGGTAAGTCTTGTTGGTAAAATATGTGGGGCTTTCTTGTATATGTCTGGAGTGTCTTGTAGCTGGATTCCATAAGACATATTTGAAGTGAATGAGAGGCATAAGCTGAATACAAATCAACCCGCCACCGGAACCCACAAATTTGAAAGGGGAATCCAACATATGTGGTAGGTGTACACAATGGAGTCTTGTGGATCTATCAGGAAGCAACGATATGTGGGTTTTAGAGATGCAATCAACAGAGTCGCGATGTGCGATTAGCAGAGAAGGGTTCTCGGTCGAGTGATGGAGGTGAGTAGTGATAAATTTAGGGTTTGTCGTGAGAGAAAACCATTGTTTGGATACCGACCTGAATCTTATTAAGGATTTGACAGGAAGTAAAAAGAGAATCTCTATAATTATGTCTTGGGGAAAATATGAATAAGAGGCAGCCATTATTGTGTTTTGCGTTTTGTGCTTGTTGTTTGGTGCAATGAGTTTCTCGACTAAATTATATGGAGAAGAGAAGAAAAGAAAAATGAGGTCCTAGGGTTTGAGGAAAGAGATAGTCATAAACAAATAAGAGTTTAATATGGATTTAAATACTAATGCAAGAGTTGATCGGACATGTGTTGCGACTTAGGAGTGGATTCGGGGATTTTTTTTTATTTTATTTTTTTGTACTCATGTACTTAATATTTTTAGCAGAATTAGGTTGTTAAAATTTAAATCGAATTTGAGGATTTCTAACATATTAACCATAGAATATTTCTTTGTAAATACAACAAATATTTAAGAGTTAATGTATAATATAAAAATAAGTATCAATTCCATGTAGATATTAACTTTTTATAATTTTGGTACATAATTAAATATAAATGATATAAAGTTAATTTCATACATAAATTTATTTTTATATATCAATATAAAAATAAATATCAATTCCATATAAATATTGACCTTGGATACATAACTAAATATGAAAAATATAGAGATAAGTTCAAAAATAAATTTAGTTTTGTATATCAATTATTTTAAAAAATATACTTGATGAAATAGCAAAAACAACGTACATATATATCAATACATATAAATTTTAGGGATCAAGTAGGTAGTTATTTCTCAAATACTATAAACTAAATCTCTCGACCCATTTGAAGACCGATTCTTCAAATACCATTGACTAATACAAGTAAACGAAACTATATATATGGTCCAATTACTTCAATATCAATAAATCTAAGCATAAGTTTAAATTGTAATCGCGAGATACGATTGTAAAAAAGATCGTAATCGTGGACTACTTCTTATAGTAGTAGTAAAATAGTAATTATGAATGCATTAGTCTGTTATCGGACATGCTTATGGGCAGTGGTAGATAGCAGATATTGATTCAAAACTCTTCCTTAGTGGCTTAGGCTTAGTCGACCTGAGGAGCTACAGACTTTAAGAAACTGCCATAGCTAGATTGCAGTTGACTCGACGTTATAACGGCTATCTAGTTCTATCGGCTATAAGGTGGAGATAGTCTCAGTCGGCTAATCGGAAGGCTTATCCGCACATGATAGCGGCATTTTAATAAATTTATTTTACAAAAAATTAAGAACATTTTTTTTTACAATAATATAACGATTATTATGCATCAAATAACAATAATAACGGCTACATGAAATATTGTATAATAAAAATGGACATGTTTGAATCTTTTATTTAGAATTGTGAACGATGTAATCTTTGAAAGAGGCCAAAATATAATGCCCCAAGTGGCCAAGTGTAGAGGAACCATCAGCAGGCAAAAGTCACGAACATAGATAGGAGCCGTCACGCAAGACAGGATAAAGAACAAATTGAATTTTATTGCCCATTACTTTGTAGGAGTCTGCTACTGGTTTATCAATGATTAAGAACAAAAGGAATTTATAGATAATCATTTTATCTATATAGGCAAATCACTAGTAAATAACAAGCTAAAACATGATTCTCATAGACAAATATAATAACTACGACATAATTCTAAGAAATTTATCAATGAACAAAGCAAAGGCGAAAACTAAAAACTATGTCTTAGCTACAACTCATCAATATATGGTTCCCATTCTCAATCACTTTCGTTCTCTCCATAAACTGATGCCAGGCTCTCCACATTGTAACAAAATTCACCAAAACCATACTTGGTGTTTGTTGGTCTACTCATTGGAACGAACTTGCTTGCTTGGAGGGAGGGATTTGTGGGATCAAGCAAGTAGAAGCCGTCTTGTGCTTCGAAAATGGATGTAAAAAGGAGTATGCTACCTCTGAAAACCCATTCTGGTCTACGTGAAATCCCTAAGAATGGTTCTTTTAGCGTGAACACTTTATTCCAACTCTCCCTATTACCACCTCCTCCTCCTCCTTCCTCACTTATCACCCACAATTCAAAGCCATAATTTCTCAAACTCATGTTTCTAGGAAAGATGAGAAGTGCAAGGGAGCCTTTGTACTCAGTAACTGTGTAACAAGTGCTCCGAAATTCTAGACTTGGCAAGTCTATCTTTCTAAAATCCTCGGTGACCAGGTTAAAACCAACTATAATTTCCATCAGATTACCAGAAACATATCTACCAGCGTGCCAATATATCTCACCCTTTAAAGACAGTGGAGGATCATCGGAGTGAAAACCATAGGGTACAGGTTTGTCAATTACTTTCCAAGAACCTGTTCTCCGAGAGAAAACTTCAGCTTGATAAACACCTTCCTCCTGATAATACCAAATCAGCAACAATTTGTAATCATTGGTCTCACTGCTATAACCGAATGCATCAAACGCAAGGCAAGTCTTATGGGTAAAATATGTCGGGCTTTTTGGTATATGTCTGAATTGTCTTGTAGCAGGATTCCATAAAACATAATTGAAGTAAATGAGAGGAGTGAGCTGAATGCAAATCAACCCACCATCAGAACCCACAAAATTGAAAGGGGAGCCAAACATATTTGGTACGTGTACACCATGGAGTCTTGTGGATCCATTGGGAAGCAACGATATGTGGGTTTTAAAGATGAAATCAACACATTCGCGACGTGCGATTAGCAGAGAAGGGTTTTCGGTCGAGTGATGGAGGTGAGTAGTGATAAATTTAGGGTTTGTCGTGAGAGAAAACCATTGTTTGGATACAGACCTGAATCTTAATAAGGATTTGACAGGCAGTCTTAAGAGAATCTCTATAATTATGTCTTCGGGAAAATAAGAATAAGAGGCAGCCATCAATGTTTTTTTTTTTTTTTTGCGTTTTCTGCTTGTTGTTTGGTGCAATCATAAATCTCTCGACTAAATTATATAGAGAATAGAAGAGAAGACAGATTAGGTCCTAGGGTTTGAGGGAAGAGATAGTGATAAAGAAATAAGAGTTTAATATGGATTTAAATATTAATGCTAGAGTTTATCCAAAATGAATTGTTAACGTAAGAGTTTATCCAACATAAAATATTAATGCTTTAAGAGTTTATCGGACAACAAAAACAAAACCTTTTTTATTTGTTGGTTTCTGATCATTAAACCTAGGAAAAACAATGGAGTTTAATCAGACTTTGAGTCAGGAATACTTTTTTTTTCTCATGGGGTTAGGACTTAGGAGTGGATTTGGAGATTTCTGACCTATTAATAAATTTTTTATTTTTTTGTAAGTACAACATAATATTTAAGAGTTAATGCATATTATAAAAATAAATATCAGTTTCATATGGATATTAACTTTACATAAGTTTGATACATAATTAAATATAAATAATATAAAAATAAGTTCTTAAATGAATTTTTTTTTATATATACATTATTTTTTTAAAAAAAATATTGATGAAATGAAAAAATATATATATACGTACGTGTTCATATATAATCAGATTGTGATTTCTCATGAGACAAAGGTCATCTTTTCCTTCCTGGGGAAAAATGCCTCTGTAGCTAGCGTCTAGGGGGTCGGATTTTATAGGGTACGTATCCATCGAGGTGGAGAATTTTCCATCCTTTAAAATAAGGGTTTTTTTTTTTTTTTTTTTCCTTTAACCATATCTTTAACAATAATGTGATAGATTGGGATCTTAGTTTTTCTCTAATTTTTTACAATGCACCTTTTATTGGACGAAATTTATAGATTATCTTTTCATCTATATAAATTATAATCTTTAAAGATATTTAAATTATATTAAGATGTGGACTAATCAGTCTAAATGCTAGACATAAATTTTGTGAAACACTATAATCTTCTTTTTCTTCTTCTTTTTTTCCCTCTGTTAGCACATTCAATATACAACAAATTAGAAAACTGCAATATTTATCACTAATAGCTCTATAGTTATGGTGTTTCATTCCATAAAAATAGCAATAACAAAGAAAAAAAAAAAAAAGGTAATTAACCACATGACATGGATTCTTGAGCTTAAGTTCAATCCTTCAATATCGAAAACAAAAGAATAGGAACTAAAAAAAAAAAAAAAAGCTTTTGATTAGAAATTAAATTATGACCCATGAATCCACTGCCGAAGAAATAAAACACATAATATAATATGCTAAAACAGTCTTCTAATAGAAAATTTTCACATCAACAATTAATTAATGCACAAAGCAAAAGATTGAACATAAAAGTCACATCCTAGCTACAACTCACCAACGGTTCCCATCTCAATGAGTTACATCTTCTCCGTAAACTGGCACCAGGCTCTCCACATAATTAGAGGTGACCATTATTCGGTTAAAACCGAAAAATCGAATCGAACCGAATTGAATTGACAATTTCGATTCGATTTTTAAAAAAATTTGAAAAAAAAAAACTAAAACCGAAAACCAAAATTATTTCGGTTCGGTTCAGTTTTTTTTTCAAATTCGGTTTCCACCGAAAACCGAATTAGTTTTTTTTTTTAAACACATACCCAAACTCTTTTTTTTTTTTTTAATCAAAGAGGCACCTATGAGTTTAACTAAAAGAAAAATAGCTTTAATGATTTTTTTCTACTTAAAATAGAAATATTTTCCATTAATTATTTATTGAAATAAAAAAAATAATTGATTATATTATATTGACTCATAAAAAAAAAAAAGACTATGATAAAGAAATTCTTTATAAAAACATAAATTTATGTATGGGTGAATCCTAAAATCTCATGAAAAAAAAATTATCCCCTTGTATGAAAATTGGCACAAACATAAATTAAAAATTAGATTTTTCATATTATATATTCAACAATAAAATATGCACAAAATAAATAGATTAAAAAAAGAATATGAAAAATTAATAAAAAAGAAACCAATTATAGCGTGATTGAAAAAATAATGAGAAGCCCAACTAATTTAGTTTATAATATAAATAGAAACAAATTTATTATAGAAAAAATAATAATAATCATACATAATTTTCTTATAAAATCAAATGTGAAATATGCAATCTTTAATTATGCAAGTTTGATATTTTTTAAAAGCAAAATAATTCGATTTTTAGAAGAAAAATGCAAAAAAAAAATGGTTTTAACCAAAAACCGAAAAACCGAATTGAAAAATTCAATTTTTAACCAAAAAATCGAACATCAATTTGGTTCGGTTTCGATTTTTGTTTTAGCCAATTTGATTAGCCAAAAACCGAAAAAAAAAAACATCGAAACCAAACCGAAAAACTGAATGATCACCCCTACACATAATTATACGTGCAGGTTTTTAGTTTAGCCATGGGAACAAACTTGGTTGCTTGGATAGATGGATTTCTGGGATCAAGCAAGTAGAAGCCATATCGTCCAGCTTGCAAATTGTCTGTAAAACAACTATTTTACCTCTGAAAATCCTCCTCGGCCACTTTGAAATATATAAGAAAGGGTCTTTGATAGCGAACTGTTTACTCCAACTCTCTCCATTCTCACTCAACACCCACAAATGAATGCGACCCTTTCTTTTTCTTGAAAAGATGAGCAATGCAAGTAAGTCTTTATACTCACCAATTCTGCAAAAAGCTTTGTAAAAGCGCCAAAAACTACTTGGCATCTTTATCTTTCTAAAAACCTCCGTGACTGTTGGCATGGGCAGATTAACATGAACTGTCAACTGATTTCGTGATCATAGGAGTCTGTCCAGGATAGGAGTTTGTAAGGAATATATAGTTTCCTTTCCTTGAAATAGCTCTCTTTGATATATAGAACTCTTCATAAGTTGTAACTTAACATGTTTATATATTACCTCTAAATCAGAGAAGAATAAGTACAGAAATAAAAGGTTTGCAGAGACCAATATTATTCAACAGTGATCATATTAAAAGCAAGGATAAAATGGATTTGACGACCATACCTATGTCTACTCGCCTCCCAGTATATCTCGCCCTTCACATACTGTGCTTGAGGACCAAAGGAATAATCGTAGTTTACTGCTTGGTTGAATACTTTCCATGAACCTGTTTTTCTGGAGAAAACTTCAACTTCAATAATTTCGTGGCTTCTGTGCCACAGTTAGTAATCCCATACGGAAGACCAAATTCGTACCAATTTATGATCATCGATATCTCTACTATAACTAAATGCATAAACCTGACAAAAATAATATTTCTGGCTTTGCTGGATATGCCTCAATTGTCTGGTAGCAGGATTCCATAAAACATATTTGAAGGGATGATGTCGATGATGCAGTCTAATACAAATCAAACCGCCACTGGAACCCAGAATATCCAATGATTCAAATTTCGGATCAAACATATATGGAACGTGTACATCATGGAGTCCTATAGATCCATTGTAAAGCTCGGTGTAATTAACATCGTAGTAACTAGAAATTAGGAGGGACTGGTTTTTTGATGAGTGATAGAGGTGAGTGGTGATAAAATTAGGGTTTATAGTGAAAGAAAACTAGTGTTTGGATACAGACCTGAATCTTAATAAGGATTTGACAAGAAGTTTTAGAAGAATGTCTATAATTATGTCTTGGGGAAGATAGGAATGAGAGGCAGCCAACATTGGTTTTTGCTTTTCCTACTTGCTCATTGGTGCCATGAATTTGTCAACTAAATTGTATGTGGAACAGAAGAGAAGACGAATTAAGACATAAGGTTTAAAGGAAGAGAGAGAGAGAGAGTGGTAAATAAATAAGAGTTTAATATGGATTTAAATATTTCTCAAAATAAATAAATAAATAACTCAAGGGTATACCAACTTGGGTTTTAAAGGGGAAAATTAGTAGGCTTAATAACCTATTAACCCAAGGGTGTACGGATCTGGGCTTCAAGGAGAAACTGAAGCATCCACTCATGGATTTTGGACCACTGAAGCTGGTATTTAACTTTTCTGTATATAATTTTATTGGTAGCAGCAATTGAAATGTATACAAACTTATGGTTTTAAGCCCACCAGGTCTATTGAGAAGCTCAGCACGTCTTGGACTTGAATCTTGCTCTGCTTGACAAAAGCTATATATCAGTACGGTAAGATAGTCTCAAGAAATTTCCAGTCTCGTATCATCCAGAGTTAAACTTCCCTGAGTCGCACATGGCCGAAATTGATTTCAACTACTAGAGAAGAAAATGTTAATTTTGTCGAATATGCTTTTTTTTTTTTTTTTAGTTCATCACGAGGCATGCGAACTTTAGGCTTCGTAATAAGGTAATCTTTTGTTAAATAATGTATTTGAAGTGTATAACTGTTAGGCCAAGCGTTCTTGTGTCGATTATGTATTCTAAGTACATCAAATTTTCGATGAGTTTGATTTTGTGCTTGGTTAGTTGGTGCCAAAAATGGTGGGGTAAATTGCAGATCCAATAAACAGAGGTTTTCAGTAGAACTACGCAATACGGTCTCTAGTTAGTAAATAGGTAGACTTGGGCTGTTCTTCTGATGGATCATTTGGAAGCACAATATTCAAAGAAATCATAGAACTACAAGCTAACCTCATAGAGAATATATAATCACTACAAAATAATTCTAAGAAATTTGTTAATGCACGAATTAGCAAAGGCAAAACTAACAGGGTACTAATAGCTGAATAGGCTTAGAAAAACCAGCTTGTCTCAAATTATAAAGAGAATGACCTTGTACAAAGAACTAACTCTTGAACCTCGCTATTCCATGTAAAACATCTCCATAATCTGTCCTAATCAAAGCCATGGATTAAATCATGAAAGGAACAATGAAATCATTATGCAGAAGAACTAAAACACAAAAAAACTTTTGTTCTAAAAGCAATAAAGAGGTGTCCATTCATTTGAAAAGAAACAAATGAGCTACAAGCTCATTGGACGCGATTGAGAGTATCTATTCTTATGAAGAGAACTATATAACTCACATTGCTTGACTTGTGATTCGTAAATCACATTGGAGCATCTTCGGCATCCATCACCCACAAATCAAAAGATCTCGTCATCGAATGACATCCATTTTTGGGAAACTCGAAGAATGCAAGTGAATAATACTTAAAGCTAGTAATCTGCTTATCAGACTGACTCAAACAGGGAAGATCGATCCTTCTAAATATTTCCATAGCCATATCAAATGCAAGGATAAACTCTTCATTAACCTTAATTATGAAGCCACCATCAAGTTCCCTCTCTGCCACCCTGTCCGTCACCATCCAGTATATCTCACCCTTCATAGACACCTCATACCTAATGGAATATTGATCACCCAGCACCCAACCCTTGACTACTCTCCAAGAATCTGTTCTCCAAGAGAACACCAGAGCTTGAATATTAGAACCCAACCGCCTCCAACCCTCGCCACCAAACTCACACTCGTCAGGATCGGAATCGTAACTGGGAAAACAAAAGAAACGCCCAATTCTCACCATCTGATAATCATTTATCTCACTATTATACCCAAACCCTTCCACCTACAATATCAATATCTATGGTTAATCTTCTAAGTGGATTTGTCAAATAAAGTTTTTTGGATGCAGCACTGTCCTTCATGGAGCTTGGTATCGGAACAGGATGGACAGTTATGGTTTCTCCACGGCGGAGCAATGCTATTCTGGTGGAGAACTGATCGGACTCAGCAAACAACAGAGAGGGATTTTGGTGGAGCAGTTGCGATGGGCGGTGATAAATTTAGGGTTAGTAAGGAGAGAAAGCCAGTGTTTGGATACAGACTGGAAGCGGATTAAGGACTTGACGGGCAGTCTTGAGAGAATGTCTGTGATCATGTCTTGGGGCAAATTTTTAAAGACAACCATTGTTTTTTGCTCTTTTGTTTTTTCCATGTCGTTTGCTAGGATGAATTTCCAGAGAAATTTATGGGAAGAGGAGGGGAGGGATGGAGGCTTGAAAGGAGAGAATTTATGTTCGATGCCCTAGGGTTTCAGCTACGAATTTATATATTTTAGGTAAAATTAGATTATTAATTTGTTATATGGACTAAGTTCCTATCCTATTTGAGTTAAGTGGAAATCATTGTTTCCATTAGTCCTATCCTATTTGAGTTAAGTGGAAATCATTGTTTCCGAGGCTGCCATGGTAAAAGAAGGCTGGGCCATCGATTTTTCGTACTGTAAGAATTTAACTACTCTTTCGATTTTCATGCAAGTTAAGAACATACGGGGTGGTCACATCTCTACATGAACAAGAAGCTATATTACTTGAAGCTATAGGTAGGAATGGAATATCTGCTATGCAATCTCTGATCCTAGTTATATTGATTATCAGACATTTATCTCTTAGATTCTGACTTGGGGTTAGTTGTGTGGCTAAAAATATAGCCACCTAAAAGCAATATCTCTCTTCAGAACTTGAAAAATGGGCCAAATTTCAGTAGAAGCAGCTAGGGAAGAAAAAATTGCTTTCTATGACGTTTACTTCAGCAGAATATGCAGATAGTATTCAATTTTACGCAAGGCTTATTGCATAAGAAAATGCACAGTACAGAAGGCAATATCTAAATATTATGCTCTTGAAAAGGGAAGGAATCCCAGACTTTATGATTTGAAAGAAATATTGAACAAAAAAGATGGAGAATTTTCTCTTCAATCTATAAACAAAAAATTACCTCACAAACTTCTCTCAAAGAACTCCCAAATTCTCTCTTCCATGTAAATTCGGTCTGTATGCCGACGAGGCATGTGCCGTTCGTCTGGGAAAATTAATAGTTCGTAGGGTTTTCCAGCTGCCACAAGTGCATTGACAAGCCTGGCAGTGTGCCTAAAATGCACATTTTCATCAATCATGCCATGAACCAGTAACAACCTCCCCTTTAACTTGTGCACATGATGCATCACAGAGCCGTACTCATAGCCTGTTGGATTCTCAGAAGGGAATCCCATGTACTTCTCAGTATAAAATGTGTCATATCCATCCCAGGAGGTTACAGGTGCACCGGAAACAGCACAACGGAAGACATCAGGGAACCTTGCCAAAATCATAGCTGACATGTATCCACCATAACTCCATCCATACAACCCAATGTGGCCAGCTTTTGCCAGTCCTTGTTTGATGAGCCATTCAGCTCCAGTGAGTTGATCCTCTGCATCGAAGCGGCCAGGATTTCCTTTCAGAGCACCCTCAAACTTTAGCCCACGGCGAGCACTTCCTCTATTATCCAACTGTCAAGGGTGAAACAGAGACAGACTCTCAGGGTAACAAGCTTTCACTTTAGAAATATGTTAGTTAATGTGATGCATAAGCTCGTTCCTATTTTTGTTACAACCCATTAAGCTATAAAATGTCAGTACTGTGACATATCTCCACATTAGCATGCATCTACGCCAATAAAAGGACAATTCCCAGTCTTTTCAAAGCTCAAACAACACTTTCTATGCATGAAAATTGAAACATGAACCACCACCATTTCAGATTTGACAGTATTCCATCATCTCCCAGATTTTGGGGACCGAATGAATTCAACATCTAGGTAAGCGCCTATCTTAAACACATATGCATCATAAAAATGTGACTTCCCGTTGTCCAACAGCAGAATGAGCAGCAAATATTACAAATAGGGAAAAAGCTGGATATCCAAACAGGCAATGATCTACGCATATAAACTGCAGAATTTAACCATTTATGTGATTTTAGGGAAGAAAGTAACCAACATTCTAATTGGTATGACTACATGAGGAATTCAGAACAGTAAAATAAATATACAGTCAAGATGTCTATGTTGAAAATACTAACCTTCCACACTAAGATGCCTTTGCTCCGAAGATATTGTGCTCTCATGTCAACGGTACTTATCCAAGAATCACATACATATTGTACACTAGGGCCACCATAAACACTGATCAAGGTTTTGTATGGTGGTGGTCCAAATCTTGTTGGGTCAGGCTCATATAAAGCCCCATACAATGTAGTCCCATCATCTGCCTGTATCTGAACTATCTTTGGAGGCTCAAGTTCCAGCCTTTTAAATCTTGGAATGGTGAAAGACCGTTCAAACAGAGGCATGATTTCTCTTCCATCAATCAAGGAGCAGAGCGAAACTCTAGGGGGAGAATCAAGGGAATCGTGGATATCAACAAAATTCTGCATGTGGTGATCAAGCACAACCAAATGTTTCCCCTTACCATGTGTTAATCTCACTGGGGCCAACAAGTAATTTTTTTCAACTGGGAACAGTTTAGCACGGTAAAGATGTGATTCCAAAGGCCCATCTAGAGTTGCAGTAAAATATATGATCCCTGCAGCCTCATTTACACCAGAAATTTGCTCAACCATCCATTCACCTTCAGTAATTGGTCCTAAGCATGTCCCATTTGCATCATGCAAATACAAATGTCTAAATCCTGTCTTTTCACTCGCCCAAATGAATCCACCAGAATATTTAGTAATTCCTTTGTCTAGAGGAGTGAAGCAGTCATGTAAATTAATCCACGGAAGTTGTTCTTCCACATATATGACTTCTTTTTTCCCTGTCTTGATATCAAACTTAAGAAGTTTTAATTTTGAATGAGACCTGTTCAAAACTTGAGCTACGAGATTAGTTCCATGCATCCAATTGACTCGGGCCAAATATTCATCCTCATTATCTGCTTCTGTTGTTCCTCCACATAGAAGATCTAACCAAGTTATAGAACCACCATGAACAGAAACTACCCCAAGACGAACTTTGACATTTGAAGCTCCTGCAAAGGGATAAGGATGGTCTTCCTGTGCTTCTGAACCAACAGAGCTTTTGCCTTGATGCATAATTCGAAAAAGAGGTATCTCAGATGAATCAACTTGTGTAAATGCAATGAATTTGCTTTCAAGTGACCACCAGTAACCATTCTTCCGGTCCATTTCCTCCTGCAATCAATAAATTATAAATCTCAGGTAAACAGTTTAATTTTACTCACTTAGAAATAAAACCCACAGAATCCAATACCATTATGAAATCAACATAGCAACAGAAAATGAGTATATTAAGTTTCACTGAAAAGTAAAAGTAGTTGCAAATAAGCAGTGTCTAAGTTAACATATATGTGGAGATGGAAAAACAGGAGTAAGGATGAAGTTCTCACCTGAGCTATATATTCAGCAAGGCCATGGGTCTGTAAAATAAAAATAAGAATAGAAAAGGCATTGTCATAATCAAATCAGAAGACTAAAGCAGAACAAATAAAAACAAAACAATCAAAAATTTGTCAATTACCAAAACCAAATATTATTGATTTGATTTGACAGGTTAATTTTTCAATGCTTCTAACTTATAATGGTGGCCTTACTTTGAGTTTGAGCATGAGGTAAAGCTGTCAAAATAATACACCATAAATGTAGCAAATAAAATAGATGATTTTGGGTAAGGTAAAAGGTAGGGTCAAATCCAAGTAAAAAGAGCGCAATTAAATCTCTCAATTCCTGTGCATTTATAGTTCTACTGTAGATAAAAAGTGAAGAGAACCAATAATGAAAAACTGACGATTTCTATTTCCTCCAAAGATCTGATGGGCCAAATTGGAAAGAAGGGAAATAACTAACAATGATTAAGTGGCGGATACAGCAATAGATAGAGATGTAGAGGAAAATGCATGAAGCAGATCCCACATGGTTGGAAGTTCAAATTCATAGGTACAATGAGTGATAATTATGTAATCTGTGTATAATAGTATCAAATTTAAACCAATAAGGGAGTTGAAGAGAAGTTAATCAAATGGTTTAAAATAAATCAATGATGCAGTAGATAAAGACTAATGGATGCATGTAATCAGAATGATATTGGTAACTCATAACATCAGATATTAATCCATGGACAGGATCCATAGTTCCGATAGATAAAGTACGTCATTGATAAAATCATATATTATCCAACCTCCAGCAGATACCAATAATTTGAAACTTACAACTGTATTTCCCTGAGCACCATGTGTTAATTGTTTGGACTCGTTGTACAAGAAATTTAGAACATGAAGCTCACTGTCCCTTATATAAGCAAGCATGGTACCATCAGGAGAGACATGCGGATCGATAATAGGTGATAACGCGGAGCTAGGAAGCTTGAGCTCCGGCTTCGAAGAGTAGAGTTCCTGTAAATAAAGCTGTGAACACAGAAAAGGTCATATCATTAGTTATATTTGCACATTATTCCTGATCCATATGCACTCTAAATTATCATTCGTAGTTCTAAAATCATCAAGTTAATTGAACTGACTGGACTGCATTTGATTGTATTTAGACTGTTATACTGCCATGATTCAAAAGGAAAGAAAAGAGAAAATTCTGGCAATAGGAAATTATATAAACACAGATCAGAAAATCTAGCAAAAATGTAAACAAGCATTCAGAAATAGAAGCATGAGAATCCCGATACAGTGAGACTATTGTGATAATGAGGATTCCCAGTGAAGTAAGAAATTGCATTGTCATGCTATTCCAGGGATTCAAAGTGGAACACATAAAGAAATGCTTTTTCTTGAATTCAAGATCACAGAGCATTGACCAAATACAGTTCCACCAGCACAACTAAGTCCAATTAGAACACTTCTCCATTCCTTCAAAGTTCAAACCTTAAGGACTTTAAAGTCTATGTACTTTGTACTTACAGAAAATATATTAAAATAAAGGTTCCCAAGAACTAAAATGCAAAGGATTAGAAAGAGGGAAATGGCATTAAACATTAAAAAATCGTTACTGGAAATCATATAAACTGATAAGTGAGAGAAGTGAGAGAACAAACCCCTGCAGGCAATGGCACCATAATTGCTTTCTTCTTTGAGCCTGTCTTCACCCATTCATACCGCGTCACTCCCAACCCACGTTCCCTTGCCCTCTCCCTCCGCAACTTCTCTTCCGGTGATATATTACTCTCATCGAGTCCACCATCAGGGGGACCAAAAAACAACTCTTGCTTACCATTCTTGAGATCAAAAGCAAAAACCTTCCTACTC